TGTGCTAGAAATCTCAAAACTGTGTCATTCAAAGGAAGACTCTTGGGAGGGCAAGACGGCATGGGCAGGAAGGACAGGACCTGCTCAGCAGCGAAGTCTTCCAGAAACTCCACGCACGTTTGACTACCAGAGTCAGATTTAGTGATTGTTTCTAACAGCTGTACAACCATCATGCAAAACATAAGATCAGTAGATATGGGCCCAGCATGATAGCCTAGCAGCTAAAGTCTTCGCCTTGCATGTGCCAAGATCCCATATGGGTACCAGTTCCCATCCCGGTGGCCCCGCTTCCCATCTAGCTCCCTGCTTGTGGTCTGGGAAAGCATTGCAGGACAGCCCAAAACCTTGGGACCCTGCACCTGTGTGGTAGGCTTGGAAGAGGCTCCAGGCTCCTGGCTTTGGACTGGCATAGCTCTGGCTGTTGCAGCCACTTGGGAAATGAATCAGCAAACAGGAGATATTCCTTTCTATCTCTCTTCCCCTCAGTATATCTGCCTTTCAAAAAAATAAATAACTCTTTAAAAAAAAAAAGACATAGAACAGCTGGAACACAAAGCAGCACCCATATACCCACATGGAATGCTGGTGGTGCTTGCAGGTGGAGGGTTGGCCTGTGAACCACCAAGCCATATCCTATAAATCTGACATTCAGTAAATAAATAAATGAACTTATGTATTTATTTAAGATGCATTCTAATCAGTCTGTTTATGGTCAAACAGACCAGGTTATTTGTAATCAACATCAGAATATGATAAGAGAAATATCAAATTAGTTTTTTTTAACTGTAATTTTTATTTTGTCAAATAAATGTGTCCTTCTGTTTGTTTTTCTTATTTATTTTTTATCCTCATGAGAGGCAGAGAAACAGAGTGACAGAGATATTAAGAGAGAGAGAGATCATTCATCTGTTGATTCATCCCTGAATGCCCACCACTGGGGCTGGGCCAGCGCTCAGAGCTCAGTCTGCGCCTACAGTGTGGCTGGCCAGTGAGTACCTGCGTTCTGAATCCGGCACCTGCTGCCTCCCGGGACGCTGAAATTGGAAGCGTCAGGCATTCTGATATAGGAGGTGCCAGCGCCACAAATGTGGTCTTAAAGACCGCACCAAACTTTAATCCTTTCAAAAGTGACATGATATTATCGAGCTGTTCGAGCATCGATATGTTTTTAAACTATTTTAAGGATCAGTGTGCAAATGAAAGTGTAGCAGAGAACCTGATTTAGACTGAGAAAGCGGGGTAGGAAATATCAATAAGGAATTCCAGGAAAAAAAAAAATGTGTGAGGTGCCTGGCAGCTGGTTTATAAGGGTTACTCTACCATACCTGAACAAAAGTGCACCTGTTATACACTTCAGAGGATTGTCTGACTTGGATGGAGAAGGAAAAAAAGGTACCTTTCTTTGGGCTAAGCTATCATTTATATGTTTTGTCCTTCATGCAAGTAGGATTGAAACTGTGTGTTACAAATTGCTGGAATGCACAGCTCTTTGCGGATTGTGGTTATTTCGGATGCCTGAGAATATCACAGATGCTCATCACTGCCTTGGCTTTCTAGAAGCCTCTGGATCCAACATCCTGTGATGTGATGCTGTGATTTCATAAACAAGTACATATATTGTATCACGGATCTGGGGGAACTTTGGTAACTGTACTTCAGTTCAGTCAGGCCTTTTTTTTTTTAAAGTATGTTGTCTTTTATGCATTTAAAAACATTCTGAGTACATTTCATCAACTTCAGAACTAGCTAAAGCAGAGGTCCGCAGCACACTAAAGGTTAATATCCCGGGGGCTGACACCAGGTCGTTGTGGCGTACACCCTCCACCTGGTGGCAGCAGACGCCTTAATGGTTGAAACTGTTATCAGAAACTAGAAATAACAGTACACTGGAGTAGGATTTCTAAGCTCTTTTGACCTCAACCCACAGTAGGAACTGGGATTTCCATCATAACCCAGAGCATGCTATCAGTGTTTCCCAAAACTGATCTGAACCTTATCTTGTAACAGATTGGTATTTTTTATTGCATTGTAGTATTCTCTTTCATTAAAAATGAAATGCTGTTTGCGACGTACCAAACTATTCAGTAGGTTAGGATGCGCTCTTTCACATCATGAGAGAACGTCCTCCACCATTCTTCATGGATTATTACCCAGCAAACTTCATTTTGGTTTCCCACACCTGTCAACAAAATGGATGTATTTAAAAGTTATTTGGGCATGAGCATTGGGCTTAGGGATTAAGACATCTGCATCCCTTACCAGAATGAGTAGGCTTACATCATAGCCCCAAGCCTCATCCCAGCTTCCTGCTTATGTACACCCCAAGTAGACAACATGGCTCGTTCGTTGTGTCACTACCACCCGTGGGAGACCTGCAGTGAGTTCTTGCTACCAGTCATTGGCACCATTTGAATAGGAACTAGCAAATGGATATGCATTCCTTTTCTCTACCTCCCTCCCTTTTCCTACCCTCCCAACTTTCAAATCAAATAATTTGCAAACATTATTTTGTGTTTCCACTTATCTACACTAATAGGAACCAATCTTAGCTGTGTGCCAAAGATGCCACATCAAGATGTACAATATTACCATTGCCATTGCGCATAATTTCCTTGTGCCAGTTCTAAGCCAGTGCCACCCTGGGCAGTCACGGTTCTGATTTCATGCACTGTGCATTGGTTCTGCCATTTTAGAATTTTACGTAAGTGGAATTGCATGCTGTATCTTCTTCTGACTTCTTTTTCTCAATGCAATGTTCTTGAGAGGAGTTCACACTGCATGTGCCAGTAGGCTGGGGTGAACAGCATTCCACTGCATGACTAAACTAGAATTTCATTATTTTCCTAATCCATCATAATTTGTTTAATCTCCTGTGGATAGGCTTTGAAGTTGACTTTGGTATTGATTGTTAGGAGTAAAACGAGCATTTGTGTGTGCACCTTGGTGTGCATGCATGCATTATAGCTCTTGGATAAATACCCAGAGAGGAATTGTTGGTACTGTAAATAAATGATATGCTTAACTGGCAAACAGGCAAATTATTTACCTGCCAAAGTGGGAGGGCCATTTTATCCTCCTGCCAGCACAGTGTGAGGGTTTGCACTGATATGTATCTTTGCCAACGTGTGGTGTCGTTGTCCTTGTATGTTTTCATCATTCTGGTGAGTGCCGTGGTTTTATCTCTTAGTGGGTCAAATTTGCCTTTGCCTTATGATGTTGAATCCTATTTTTTTTGTTTTTGGCTACTCATTTATCTTGCTTGTGAGACGTCTATGTAGGCTTGTGTTATTTATTTTTTAATAGCCATTTGTAGGAGTTCTTTATGTATTTTGCATACTAGTTCTTTATGTTCTACACAAAAGCAAACATATCTGTGTTAATACATTTTTCCCAGTCTATGGTACACATATGCATTTTATTAATGGTGTTTTATGGTGAACAGAAAGCTTTAGTTTTGACAATGTCCAATGTAGTGATTTTTCTTCAATATTCAGTGCTTTCTGGGTCCTAAGAAATCTATGCCCCGGAAGATTGTTTTGGCTTTTGTGTTTGAGTCTATATGATCCATCTCCAACCCTTTCTTCTTTCTTTGTTAGTACAGATTTCTGAGATGGTAATACTAAGAGCTCCCATTTACACCTCACTGTACTTCATGTTACTGTCCTCATATATCATGCGTCTGTCCCAATTCATGAGCCACATCTAGTTTCCCTATTTCTCCCACGTGTGTGTGGTTTGCATGAGGTGTCAAGTCTTTCCTCTTCATATTAACATATAATGCTCTGACACCGTTTGTTCAAACTTTCTTTTTGTCCTCTGAGTCACCACACAGAAGTTTCTAAGCGTTTGTTCAACCAAAGGGAGGCTAATGTGACTTTTCCCTGAGGCCTGCAGATTGAACCCCAACCTGCAGTCTTGGTCTTCAATTCCTTCCCAGATTGACTCACCCTCTGTGTCCTGTGACTATCAGAAATTACTCATGAAATGTGAGGATTTATAAAGCTGTATGATTTTGCAGGAGCCACAGCCATACTATCAAATAAGGAGCTGCCTGTGGCTATTTAAATTAAAAACCTAGATTGTCGAAACAGCCATACTGCAGGGACTCAGCTGCCACATGCAGTCATTAGCCATGCTACGGGACTTAGCAGATAGCTCCATGTTCCCTAAAATGCTGGCCACTAGACTAAGGACAGAGGCAGGCTCTGTGGCATTTGGAGGCGTATTTATTTTATTTGAAAGAGAAACAGATCTCCTTCTACTGGTTCACTGTCTCAATTGCCTGCAACAACTAGAGCTGAAGTCAGGAAGCTGGGCCTCAACCTACTGGCTCTCAGGGTTTGCAGTAGCAGGAGGTTGGAGTTGGAAGCAGAGCTGCTTCTCACAGATATGAAGTGCAGATGTCCCGACCAGCACCCTCGGTGCTGCCCCAAAGACTGCCTCTTACAGCATGTTCTACTGGAGCTTGAATTGAGATGGCAAACACCCAGGTTCGACTACCTTCTCCTTGATTCTTTCTCGTTCTTTCTTACCTTATGTGTGGTTCCGGATGTCTGCACCAGCCAATCCTTTCGTCTACCCAATAAACGCTATGATTTATGTCTGTTCTTTCCTGCTTAGAGAAAAGAAACCCCCTGGCACAGGATCATCTCAAGCGTGCTTCGCGCTGACCTACTTCACTTCTCTGTGTTTGATGATCCTCCAACTGCCAAGGGGATGTCTGGGCATCCCCTTGCCAGGTGTGGCACAAAGATGGCTTGTTGTTGTTCCTATCCCGATGAACCTGGCCTTTTGCTTTAGTGTTTCTACCACAGGTTTTACATTAGGGAAGGGAGTGAGTGTTGACCTGTGGCCCTGTCCCATAGGAAGATTTCTGTCCATAGTGCACTTGGCTACTGTTTCATCATGAGCAACCACATAGGAATTTGGGAGATTTTTCTCATTGTTTGCCGGCTGTGAGCTGACTGACAGACACTGACTCTGCCACTGATGTCTTTCAGTGTGGGAATTTTGCTGTCCTGGTGGATCTCCATGTATCACCGCAAGATTCAAGCAAAGATACCAGCTGGTTTTCCGAACAGAAGAAAGAGGTACTACAGAACTTTCCACTATTTCTTACAAGTATGCTGCTGTATGCTTGTGAATGACAGACAGCACCTGAGGCAGATACGGAGGTTAAGACAAGGCTGCTCTCTCACAGCCATCTGAAGTCCTCATCATAATCTTCCAGCGACCTTCTGTCCTCCTGAGCTTTGCATCAGGATGCAGATGTGGTTCCTTCTGCTACGCTGGTCATTCATGGTCCACCATGGGGAAAGCATATCTGAGCTCCCTGAACCTCGGCCTCCTTCCCCATCTGCAGGGAAGGGACCCAATGGCACGCCGGAATGCTCTGGGCCAGCTTCTAGAGGTGATGATAAACTGCACCCCGACCATTACCCCAAAGGGGGCATCAGCAGGCCAAGGCAGGCACTGTTGTCAGCAAAACCTGTCGCCCTGAAGCTGACACAGGGCAGGCACAGGGTTCAGCAGGGTGGCATTTATCCTTCAGGTAAACAGCCTGGGCTCTTTTCTTCGGAATTCATTTGGCAGCCATACATCTCCTGCTGCCGCTTACCTTCGTGCAGTTCCAAGCTTTAGCTTGCCCCGTGATTCAAATCAGTTCATTCATTTCTCCAAAATGAGTAACAGTCACCTGAGGGGACCTCACCCGAACATCTTCTGACTCGAATTCTACCACCAGTCTTGTAAAATCCCCCATTCCAGGTCCAGAATTTCCTCTCTTCTCTCCCAGTTTTCCCATCCCAGCCTTAAGCCTTTTGTGATGCTCTTTAATAATCCGTTTTACCCCGGGGAACATTGCTGTGGAATGCTTTAACATAAAGCTGTGGATGTGTGAATCACATCCTAGCCGAAGCATGAAGCTACCTTTTCTTCAGGGTGCCACATGCAGCTGCGTGACTCCACATAGTACCTACTTGAGGGCAGCAGGGCATGACTTAGCAAAGGTGCACATGCCCGAGAGGGCTTGCTGCAGGAGACAGACCATGCCAGCAAGCCGAGCGTTCCTTTCATGGCGAAGTGGATGCTTTGCTGCTCTGCCTTCACGTTGCCCCCCTTTAACATACGTGTCCACTGACGTAAGCATTGTGCTCAGGTGGTCTCTGTGTGTGTCTAAGAAAGGAGAAAGGGGAGATGAGGAAAAGATGTGACCTGAGCGTATGTCTGCTGTTTCAGTACTTCCCCATCGCCCTGTCTAGCCTCAGATGATCCGGGGAGTGGGACTCAGGATCAGCCAATTCGATAACAACTGCAGTCATTTTATGTAATGGAAGTCCGGCCAATCCCCTTTCTAGATCAAGGAGCCATTACATGCGTTAGGCAAACATTCATTTGTTTGGAGTGCAGCCGGAGTAGTCTTTGACTCAGACTGTCACACTGTCCAGTTTCTCACCTAGGGGAATGCACATAGACTCTGCTAACCTGGAGGTGACACCTGTGCCTCACTTCCTTTCTTGCCTGCGGATTTTCTCTTGGTCTTCCTGTCTGTCCAGGTACGGCTGGGAGTTGGCATTTTCTTTCATTTCCGTGGTTCTTGGAGCCGGTTTCACTGAACGCGGTGTGGGCGCTGAACCAGGGTGTCCTGACCGCACTGCACACAATCTACCTTTCATCCATCAAACCCGACTCACAGAAGGAAAGCCCCATAAGCACAGGGAGAAAGTTTGGATGGGCCTTGGCTTTATTTTTGTCACACTATTTTTAGTTCTGGCCTTATAGGGCGTTTATAACCAAATTTTAACAATCCTTGTTTCCATGTATGTCTTTCACATATTTTCTAGCTAAGTCATCATTGAACCCTGCATGTGAAGCGAAATTCTTGAATTGCTAAAACAACAGTAGGAGGCAAGCCTGACTTGCTGTTGAGTGAACAGTGCCAAGACACCCACCGTAAAGGGAGAGCTCTGTCTTCCACAGGGCATCTTGGAAAGCAGGAGAGGGGAGAGCTCGGATGGATGAAGTCCATTGAGGGTTTTCCTCAGTGTTTGAGCTATTGGCTTGGGAGAAAGGATTTTATCCCCACTGCCCCCTCAGAGCCCCTGGAAACCTTTATACTTTTAACTCAGGAAGATTCTCAGAGATCGGCAGAGAGGGCATCAGCCAGCAGCCAGTGAAAAGGCGCAGGTGACCTGGACAGCCCAGAGTCTGTGGCCGTCCTTGGGCTGTAAGCTAGGAGTCTCAGCCTGTACCGGCTGGTTCTACATTGAAACAAAGAAACAGATTTCTGCAGAATTTTCCCCCTCTTTTCCTGGTAATCTAGGTAAGGACACACAGACTATCTTCCTTTTCTATGGTTGGGCTTTTAAGTTTTTGTTTTCCTTTTTATAAATAGCATCAATATAGAAAGTTGATGTGTTTAGAGTCAACTTTTTTTTAGAGTATGTTGATTGAAATTGAATTAAAACCATGTGTTTCTGTTCTGTAATAAGTATTAATCTACAGAGGTAAGATCACTTAAACGGTTTTCATTGTTAGTAGAGATTTTGGATACAGTCTTTACAAAAGCAAGCAAGGCCGCATTTACAGTATCATCAGCAAGAGCAGGGAAGTTTACTGATGTCCAGTCCCCTGCTGACCCTCTTCCTCACTACTATTTCTTCTTTCGCAGATTTACAAGCCTGCCCTCAGGAACTGCCAGATGAGGAAATTTAGATTCAGAGCTAGAAAGAGACAGAGTGCTTCCCTCTGCTGGTTCACTCCTCAGATGGCTGCAGCAGCCAGGGCTGGACCAGGCAGAAGCCAGGGGCAAGGAGTATCCGTCAGGTCTCCCATGTGGATGGCAAAATCCCAAATGCCTGGACCATCTTTTCCTGCCATTCACAGGTCACAGGGAGCTGGATCAGAAATGGAGCAGCCAGGACATGAGCAGTTACCCATAAAGGTACCTGGTGTCACAGGCCATGGCTTTACTCACTATCCTACAATGCTGGCCTGAGGATTAGGACTTTTTTTTTTTAAAGATTTATTTTTATTATTTTTTTATTGGAAAGGCGGATATACAGAGAGGAGAGACAGAGAGGAAGACCTTCCGTCCAATGATTCACTCCTCAAGTGAGCGCAACGGCCGATACTATGCCGATCCAAAGCCAGGAGCCTCTTCCGGGTCTCCCACGCGGGTGCAGGGTCCCAAAGCTTTGGGCCGTCCTCGACTGCCTTCCCGGGCCACAGGCAGGGAGCTGGAAGGGAAGTGGGGCTGCCGGGATTAGAACCGGCGTCCATATGGGATCCCGGGCGTGCAAGGCGAGGACCTTAACCACTGTGCCACCGCGCCGGGCCCGAAGATTAGGACTTTTTAAACTAAGGTGAAAAATGTGAAATTATTATATCAAAAGCACTCTTTCTGGCTCCTCTTGAACTATCGGGGGGTCTTGGCACGCTGGGTCTGCATGTTTGACAAGAGTCGTTGGGCTGCGAGGTGGGCCCCTGACCATTTGCTGGATACTGTACACCCTGTCTCCCCTGCAACCCGCTACATGCTGGGGGTGCCTGCAAAGATCATCGCTTGGGGCCCTTGCTGCCCGATCAGCATTGGCTGCACTTGCTTCTTTGCTTTTGGTCACAGCAGTAGCTGGTACTTAATCCTCTGCCTGGCTAATCGCACCGCCTCCTCGCTCTGACACATGGATGCATTTCTGCGGTTCTTTTAGAAATGTGAAACTGAGGCAGAAACAACAGAAATCAATTTCCCAGATTGTAGAGTGAGCCAACCTCCTGGTTTCCAATGCATCTCAGCAACAAATTTAAAACTGCCCGCTTGTCCATGAGCCCATGGAACATTCCTTTCAACATTCATAGCCAAATGAGCATGCAAACGCAGTAAATTGTTCGTTGTTGACCTTTTAGTATGTTCTATGCTAACTTTTTTTCATCACATTGAATTAGAAATTTATATCCAACTTTTTGCGTGTTTGTTTGCTTTAGGAAGTCTGTTTACTGTTAAAAGAAACCATTGATTCAAGAGTTAAGGAATACTTGGAAGTTCGTAAACAACACAAGCCGTCAAGTACCGAATTCACAAGATCCAATCCCTTGTCCTTAAAAGGTAGGCACAGAGCACTTTGATTTTGCACAAAGAAAATGAAATTTCTGCTTTGTAGATATGGCAGCCGTGCTGGACTCTGATTGTCGTGTTAGTTGAGTGATACATTTAAAAATATGTTGTAATGAAAATACTTTGTTTGAGTAAAGAAAATTAACCAGAGAGCCCCAAAGGGCTTTTAATGGTAGAGAAAATAAATAAAAATAGCAAATAAAACATTCCAAAGGAAACTGAATTCTTTAAGGGATTTTTCTGACATGTAATCTTACAAATGGATTCATGTTAATGCAGACTAAAATTGATTTGGGGCCTTGGACTTTTAAAAAAAATGTTTTCAAATATGCCAACCTAATTCAGAGTTTCTCAAATGAGGTCACTCTAATCCCCTTGGGACATTTGATAACATATGCAGGCAGTTTGGGTTGCGCTAACTGGCATAAGATGGAACAGTGGAGGGGTACCTCCTATCGAAAAATTCGCAAGCCCACCCTCCAACTTGAAGGGCAACGTGGTTGAGGTCCTCTTCCTGTCCTGTCTGCATGGATGGCAGCCACTTTAAGTTATAGATGAGGATGCTGCGAGTGAGCCAGGTGCACATCATCTTCCAGAGGACAGAGGCCATCCTGTGTGCTCAGTATCCCTTCTGTCCTGTGGCCATGCCCAGTCCCAGGCCAGGTTCAATGACATGTTGCACAAAACGGGGTGCTAAGCAGTAGAACCTGAACCCAGGCCTAACTCTTCTCACTGCCACCCTAGTGTTCTGTCTCCTGTGCCAGTGTTGGGGTTTTCAGTTCTTCAAAGTGTAGGGCAGCATTTCACACCACTGTTACGTGAACGCAAGCAACCCAGTTAGCTCTCAGAAGGTAGTGTCTGGGCTCCTGTGAACCAGATCACACCAGTACAACACTGTGTGTAAAGAGCCCCCTCCAAGGGAGTCCAGGATCCCCTGTGCTCGCTGCTGGAGATGAGGCAGGCAGAACAAAGTTAACCCAAATTGGAAGCCTTGAGCAAAAGGAATTTTCAGTCCAAACAATTTTGCATTATATGGTACTTTCTACTTTGTCTCCCATTAGTATAATGGGTCTTGAAAAAAAAAAGATAGGAATGCAAGCCTTTTGTATCCCAGGACATCCGGCTGGCCTCCCTTCCTGTTGGGAGAAGGACTGGGGCCAGTACCCCTGTCATCAGTGTGGCAGGCAGTGTGCTTGGTCAGCAGCAGTTCTCCCCACCCGCAGTGTGGGAGGTAGAGATGCCTTGCTAGTAGCAGTGCTCTCCATCCCCAGGGTGACGGGTGATGCGGCCATCCTAGTCCAAAGTTGTCATCCATACCTGCAGTGTGGTAGATGCTAGTTGGCCTACTCAGTAATGATTCTCAACCTCACTGCTGAGTAGTGAATGCTAAATAATCCATTTCCCACACTTTGTCACAGGGAGGAGACTTAGTCTGGTCCCAAAATGAAAAATTAAAGTCTTTCTTGGACTTACATGGGAAAGAAATTTTATTTTTAAAGAGAAAATTATCTTACTGTGATTAATGTGCATATTTTGTGAACCACATTTCCCACCTAATATATTGAAGAAAAAAAGTTTCAAAAACTTTTTTTAAGGATTTATTTATTTATTTCTATTGGAAAGTCAACATTACGGATGGAAGGAGGGGCAGAGAGGAAGATCTTCCATCCTCTGGTTCACTCCTCAAGTGGCCACAACAGCCAGAGCTAAGCTGATCCAAAGCCAGGAGCTTCTTCTGGGTCTCCCATGAGGGTGCAGAGTCCCAAGGATTTGGGCCATCCTCAACTGCTCTCCCAGGCCACAGCAGGGAGCTAGATGGGAAGCGGGGCTGCGGGGATTAGAACCGGCGCCCATATGAGAACCCAACATGTGCAAAACGGGGACTTTTAGCCTCTAGACTACTGCATCAAGCCCGAAACTTTTATTGTAATAAAATAGACATAACAAATTCTGCTATTAGTCATGTCCAGGGATAGACTTTTAGTAATATTGAGCACTAAAGCATTCATCACCACCACCAGGATGGGAAGTGGAATAACCGGGACTCCAGCCAGCACTGTGGGCTGCCAGTGTCACATGTGACAGCTTTACCCGTTATGCCATAGCACCAGCCCTGGCCATTAGTGATGTTTGTTTGTTCTAAGAAATAAAACAAATATGTCCTCTACCTATTTTTTAATTGGACTGTTTGTTCTTACTTTCTTGTTTAAAGACTTCATTTTTTTTAAGATTTATTTATTTTTATTGCAAAGTCAGATATACAGAGAGGAGGAGGGACAGAAAGGAAGATCATCCGTCCAATGATTCACTCCCCAAGTGGCCACACCAGCTGGTGCTGCGCCAATCCGAAGCCAGGAACTTCTTCTAGGTCTCCCATGCAGGTGTAGGATCCTAAGGTTTTGGGCCATCCATGACTGCTTTCCCAGGCTACAAGCAGGGAGCTGGATGGGAAGTGGAGCTGCCGGGATTAGAACTGGCACCCATATGGGATCCTGGTGCGTTCAAGGCAAGGACTTCAGCCACTAAGCCACCGAGCCGGGCCCAAGACTTCATTTTTTTATAGTAATCTCTTTGTCAGTTGAAATGAAAGCCTCTTCTTTCATTCTCTGTGTTGTTTTTACTCTCATGGTAGGTCTCCTGACACACAACAGTGATTAGTTTTAACATAGGCAATTTATGTGGTTTTTTTTTTCTTTCATCACCTATGTTTTTCCTGTCATATGACAGAAATAATTGCTAAATGCAATGTCATGAATCTTTCCCCATTTTTGAAAATTGTATAGAATTAGCCCTTACATTTAGATATTTGATCTGTTTTGAGTTAATTTTTATATATGGTTTAAAAGTCTGGTTTTATTCTTTTGTCCTGGATAGTCCGTTGTCCCAATATCATTGTCTGAAAAGCATGTCCTTTTCTCCAAGGCGTAGTCACATCACGCAATGGAAGTCATTTAAGTGACAGTTTCTTTCGGAGACCTTTTTCTGTTTGACTCATTGTGTGTCTGTCATTGTACCAGTGGTGCACTGCTTTGATTACCAGAGCTTCGCAGCAGGTCTTCAAATCACAAATGTGTGCTTTCTCATTTTTCTGTTATTTTCCAAGATTGTTTTGACTCTTTGGGGGTCCACATTACTGCTTTGCATAATGTGCCATTGAATGTCTGTACTCTAAATTTATTGGTGGGATATGTTTAGATTGCGTATAATAGTTTCACTGTGAACATTCCAGTTATATATATATGTATAAAATATATGCACATACTTTAAATTCTTCATGATATTTCTAGATCATGTTTTTTTTTCTAGCTTGTGATTGTTCTTTAAGGATCACAATAACATATACCATATATGACATCATTCTTCTCAGCTTGTCATTTACTTTGCACTTGGCTCGTTTTCCAGCCCATGGAGAAGCCCTCTTTGCCCCAGGCAGTCTCCAGTGGTCATTAGTGGAAGGAATGCTGGGATTCCATGTGGTGGGAAAAAAAAAAAAAGAGCATAGTCGTTTGCCAGAGAAAACAGTCCTTTGCAGCATTGGATAGGGCACTTGGAGAGAGAGGTACGTTCCGTACATCCTCCTCTCGAGCAAACCTGGTGCCTTCCTGCTTCTGTGTCATGATGTTCACTTCTCAGAATGCCACCCACCAGTTCATGCTGCTGCCCAGCCTTGACACAGGGACAAGCACAGCATCCCCTGACTGGCTTCGTGTGCACCTGCTCTGGCCGAAGGCACACCACCTTCCATCCACGCTTCATCTCACCTGGTGTCGCTCTACCTGGAGCCCTTCAGCGTCATCCCCTGAAGATGCGTGTGTCTGCTCCTTGGACCACTCTCTCCTCCTTCCTTAGTCTAGCCACAGCGGATCTGATTCCTTTCTTCTGAAGCCATTCTTCTGGTCAAAGTGTACTCCCTGGGGAAGCTTATCCTGTCAGTGTACCCCTCTGTCACGAGCCCCCAGGGACCGTGGACCTCCTTTCACATCACTGGCCAACATTGTCTTCTCCACAAATGTGTCAGATCTGCAAGGACACAGGTGACCCCTTATTCTTTCCTCTATCCGCCATGGAGCTCGGTTCCTGGCCAGCTGCAGGTGCTTAAAAACAGGTGACATTCCAAAAGGAATCATGTTTTTCCCTTTGCTGGGAAGATCAAGGATCGCCTTATCTGCCCTATCGCCTCCTATTTCCTACGATCCCATGTCCTTCATACCACTGTGCTTTTACATTTATGAGGTCTTGCTTTGCCTGGCACACTTCTATCTGATTGATAAGATGCACTTTCAGTATTAATTCTCCATGGTCTTCCTCAGGTTCACTTTTTCTCTGTTCCCAGGTTACTTGGCACATCATGCTTTTCCAGCCTTTATCACGTTGTAACTGTTTTATTATTGATTTTCCTGCCGTTCTCACTTCCCTTAAGGATGAGGAGTGACTCTTTGTGGCAAGGCACATTTGAACTTTTTTTGTCTGCATCGCCTTGCTGTGTAACCCAGCGCCTGGCTATGAATGTTTGCCCTTACAGCACATGACAGTTTCTGAAAGATAGGGACACTGTTCACCCTCTACCAGCCTGCTTTTCATAGATGACCAGGGACCATGATGCTCTAGGCCATGCAGACCAAGACACCTGCAAGAACAAGGTTTTCACACACATTGGCATACCACTCTCTTATACAGCAATGGCATCACTGGCAATATACCCTGAATGCATCTTTTACTTATTCCTTGGTGTCAGATACCCTTATCGGACTGCCTGTTCTCAGCCACTCTCCAAGTCTTCCTTAAATGTTTTTCTTTAGTTTTATCAAAAGCTTGATTTATTTTTGTTGAGAGGCAGATTTACAAAGAGAAGAGGAAGAGAGAAAAATCTTTCATCTACTGTTTGACTCCTCAAATGGTCACGTGACTGGAGCTGAGCTTATCCAAAACCAGGAGCTTCCTCCAGATCTCCCACATCAGATTCAGGGGCACAAGGACCTGAACCATCTTCC